GGGGGGGGGGGGAAAAAAAAAACCCTGGGGGGGGGGGGGCCCCCCCCCCCCCCCCCCCCCCCCCCCCTCCCCCCAAAAAAAGAAGCGAAATAGGCCCAAGAGGGAAGGAGCGGAAAAGCAACCTGAACCTTCTCACTCGGTTCAACCTTCCAACTGAACCTTGAGAGAGTTACGGTAACGGAACCTATGATATAGGTAGAGGGCTCGGTTGTGTGGTAAATCATGAAACGTTGTATCTTCGCTTTCCCATCGAAATGACTCTGCTTGCAATGTCGAAACCAACTCCAACCAAGTAACCATGACATGTCCAAGCTAAAAGATGGGAACAAATAACTATCTGCCCACATAATTTCTAGAGAATCACAGGTCAGCTTGCTTATTATCCTCGACCTCTTGAAGACATTTCCCGCTCCTCTCGTCCCTAGAATCCCAGTAATAAACTGACAACACACCCGTCACATAGGATTACCATCATACATGGCCTTTATGCAATCGAACCCGATTTCAAGTTACGAAACCTCGAGCACCAGATAGAGCATCATCTGCTTCTTTATGGTCTGTTCGTACAGTCGAAAGAATTGTCCGCATAAGATCAAATCCGTTTCTGCGCGTAGTACATACACAGGTTAGACTAGTGAATCGAAGAGAAACAGTGTAAACCCAATCAAACCTACTCTATCAAAGTTTGAACCTAGGGAGATATCGCTAACGTTGAACTGACTATGGACAGTGACTAAATGTTGGAGATGCTGCTCTCCGCAAGATTGGACTCAAGAGCGTCATATAGGGCGTTGAAGTGGGAAGTAATATCACAAGTCGCTTCATTTAGTTTGTTAACCTGCTCGTTGATTCTAGGATTGTTGCGCCTCTCTCTGTCATAAGTGAGAATAGAACTGACAGCAAGTGTGTTCTCCATGTGGCATTGGTGAATCTTGTCGAGAATGGATCTGTAGTTCGCGATCTTTGATCTGGGAATGGATCCGTTCAAAGCCGTGCCCATTTTTCGCAAAGCAGAATCCATGCCTCTCAAAGTAGCCTCGAGGCACCTCACTGAGTCCTCGTAAACCCTCAGCTGGATCTTGGCAGAAATTTTGTCATCCCTGGCCACGCCGAGAAGCTCTCTGACGTTTTTTAGATCTTCCTGTATGGTTTGGTTGTCGATCGCTAGCTCAGCAATCCTATTCTCCGCCTCGCGCAACTTCTCTTTGGTCTGATCAAGTTCAACACGCAGGTTCTGGAACTTGTAGGCGTCACCAACCAGCTTGTTAATGAAGTCACCCAGGTGCGGCAACGGAATTGAGGTGACGGTAGGGTGAGTAGGCACAGCTGAAGCAGATACAAGTTGCCTTTGAGTGTTGTTGTTATTGTTGTCGTTGTTGTTATCGTTGTTGTTGTTCGGCGTGTCGTCTATAGTAGGATCGTTGGGAGCCATTGCGATGTGGATTTACAAAGAGAGGGTTGTGCCTGCCGAGAGCGTGTCACATCAGTAAAGGTACCATTCCTGTTGTTTTGAAACGCGGAATTGGTTTGTGTTACGATCCAACCAACGAGCTTAGATAGATTGACCAATTAGAAGGATCCCGGGGTCCCGAGATGACGGGACCACGGGATGGGCCCGAGGTCCCGGGATAATAGGACCACGGGACCGGCTGAAAGCTAGTATATAAGAAGGCCTCTCGGCCTTCGTTATTATAGCTCTTCAGCAAGCAATAGCTTCTATAATCGATTAGTACCTTCTAGCTACTCTTACCGTTGTTCATTCATCCCAGCAATATACTCTTATACTTATAACAGTTCATTATACGTTGCTTACTCATTAATTTATACACTAGTATTCTAGGATTACTACTATACCCAAATTTCTTAACTTACTAAGTTTCCTTACCCGCTTTAACCTCTCTCTATTATATTTAGAAAACCGATTAGTAACCCCGCTACCGGAGGACCTGTTGGAGCTAGCCTCCCGGGCACCGCGGCCGGAAACCCCGGCCCTAGAGCGGACTCTATAACTGGTATTAAAAACGACAATAAGCGTAAAGTTATAGCCGTTGAGCTTTATACTAAGGAGGATAAAGAAACTATACATCGTTTTAATACTTAAAGTAAGAAATTAACTACCTTTATCCCCGCCGTTACTAAAATTATTATTGCGGTAGAGCTTTATAAAATTATTAATAAACTAAACGTAAGGGTTTTATTTAATTATATAGTCTATAACAACCCCCTTTCTAAGATTAAATTTAATCCGCCTCCTAAATTCAATAGTACTAAAAAGGAGGGCTTCTAAAGGTTTCTTATTTAGGTTCGTACTAATTTAAAATTTTCTAATATTTAGGATCCTATCTAAATAGTTTTATACGCTATATCCTTCCTAATTAGTAAAATTCTCGAATAGTTTTAACTTACTTAAATTACTTATTTCGGATACGGATAGCCTAATATATATCCTAAAACTATTTAGATTTTTAGCGACTTTGACTATTTCGAGGGCGCTATTAATTAAATCTTCGGTCTAATTAATAAGGTTCGCTAAATTGAAACTAAACTAAACGAATTCTACTAAACTAAATCAGTTACCTCTTATATAACCGAATTTAAACAATCTGCATTCCGCGTCAATTAGAATAATAAAGGCTTTAAATACTAATTTTATTAAGGTTTAAAGAGCGATATTAAAAACGAACTTATTAAAATCGATCGCAAAACTAGAACCCTCGACGAATATATAAACAAAATTATTATTATCGATAATCGCCTTTTCAAATACAAATACGAAAAAAAATTAGGCGATAATTACCCCTACGCTAATACCGGGTATAAATACTAATATAGTAGCAATAGTTATAATAACCGCGGCTATAGTACTACGTACAGTACATACGCCGGCCTTATACATATAAATACAATTAATAATTATAATTATAACTAATATAAACCTACTAAAAGTTCCAGCAAGGATAAGAAATACTTTAAATACAATAAATTAAAATACTTCGCCCGCGATTACCGAAGTAGGGGCAATAAATAGGCTAATAATTATCACTTTAACGGTTAGAAGCCTATTCCTACTCACTCTACTAATTCGGTTAGTAAAAGGAAGAGGAAGAACGTTAATAATATTAAAATCGATTATAATTTCATTACCGCCCTTACTATTATTACTAATAATAAGCCTCCTTATACTATTTATATAATAGATTATAATAATAAATTTACTAATAATTCGAATAGGAATAATAGGATTTCGAAAATAAAAAGGAAAACCTCCTTAAAAGGACTACCCCACTTATCCCTAATATTTAATCCTACGCTTATACTCCGCTTATTTCCAATAATTAAGTATACGTTCTACTTACTCCTATTATTGAAGAAAATTAGCTATTCGGTACTATTGAACATACCGAACCTACTATCTATACTAATTTATCTAACACTATAAAATCCAATTTAAATACAAATATTATCAAATATATAAACTATACTAAAAAACTCTAATAAGAACTCAATAACCTAAAGCGTTTTAGTAATTTCAAAACCTCTAAAATTAAGGAATTCGAAGTCCAATAAATTACTTACAACCGATAATATTGTAATATTTATTAATAAGATAGAGGGTCATATAAAGGCTTCTTCTACAAATTTAATAAACGTTTAAAAGAATTTATTACATTTATTTAAGTATTACTATAGGGATTTAAAAAGAAGATTATAAAGAATATTAAATAGACTTATAAATTTAGTTTAAACGAAAAATATAACCGATAATTTTAAATTAAATATTACGCAGGACCCCTTAGTAAAAATAAATTCGTTAAAATTTATCCCCTAAAATAGACATTTTAATTAATTAAAATAACCATTTTTAATACAAACGTTTATACTATTTACAATTAATCCTAGGAATCGTAAGCCGGAGACTACCTACAAATCCAACTTAGCTACCCTTCTTACGGAAAAATTGCTTAAATTTAATATTTATATGATACTTACCTATAGTATTTATTTTATAAAATAGAGTACGACTATTTCCTACAATACATTTAGGAAAACGGTACCCCCGTCCCTATTAGGGAAGCGTACTACAAGAACTCTATAGACCTATAGGATACTCGTACCTAAAATAGGAAAAAGGGCGGTCGTTTTATAAAATTTATATTAAAGGAGGAGTATCTTCGAAAATATATAAAATTTCTATATATTTAATACTAAAACTATTATTAAATTAATTATATTATTTATATAACCAATAAAGCTCGGTAATAGTAATCTAAATAAGCTTTAAAGAAGAAAGGATACTATTATCTATTATATTTAATTACTAGGAAGGAGGAAACTATAATAGTATCTTCTAGTATTAGTAAAGTAATCGGCAGCTCTAAGCCCCTAAAGAAATACTACGTTTGTAGAGGACGTAGAAAATAAGGAAATAGCAATAATTCTTTGCAAAAAGACTATAAGTAACTAACCCGCTATAAATCCTCAAAGTAAATCGAAATAACGATTCAATTTACTAAATCTAAATAGACTAGACATAGCCGTTTAAAGGAATTACAACAGCTATAATTAATTTAGGATTATCAATCAATTTTATTATACCCCAAGTAGTAAACGACTAGAAAATCCTATAAGTCTAGAAGAAAAAACTATATAGAATATATACGTTCGAAGGGAAGAGTTCTAATTACAAATAGGATTAAATACTATCGGAAATAACCCCGCTAAAAGTTATAATAAATAGAAACGAATAAAAAATAGTTTTTAATATTATTCCTATTAGTAAATATAATACTATATTAGAAAGACCCTAGTTTAGAAAATATAACCCAAATATTAATTAGAATATTAATTAAATTAAAGATTGGAGGATAGTACTAAAAGCTCCTAATATAAAAGTTTTAATTATTAATAGAAAGGATTAGTACGCTTTATTATACGAAATTACGCTACCTGAACTATTAAGGATGGTTATATTTATAAATAATATCGAAGAGGAAATACTACTTCCCGAACCCCTACTTAGTAAGGAAGATAAATTTAAGGATATCCCTATATAGTATCAAAGGTATAAAATCTTTAGAAGTTTATTAGAATATTCCCTATTAGAGTATAGTCCTTAGGATTACGAAATACCTTTAAAAGAAGGCGCTAAACCTAAGTATTAGAAAATTTACTAGTTAAATACTACATAAATAAAAGTATTTAAAGAATATATCGACGAGAGACTTAAGTTGGGATATATCTAAGAATCTTAATTACCTTATAACTCCCCTATATTCTTTATATTAAAGAAAGATAGAGAATTACGTTTTATTATCAATTACTAGTATTTTAATAACAATACTATTAAAAACCGGTACCCCCTACTGTTAATTTAAAAAATGCGAAATCGGTTGGGAAAGGCTACTATATTCTCGAAGTTCGATTTAACTTTAGCCTTTTCTTAAATCTATATAAAAAAGGGAAAAGAATAGAAAACCGTATTTAGGACGCCCTTAGGACACTATAAATACTATATTATACTTTAAGTATTTACAAACGTACCTACCTCTTTTTAAGTATAAATCGACGCTATACTTAAATAATTTATAAACGAATTTATAATAATTTATATTAATAATATTATTATATTCTCCGAAAACGAGGAATAATATTAGAAATACGTATATAAAGTCCGTACTATTCTAAAAAAAGCCGGACTATCCGTCAACCCGAAGAAAAGTGAATTCTATATTTAGTAAATTAATTTCTTAGGATATCGAATCTTACTTAAATAAATTCGTATAAATCTATTTAAGGTTAGGGATATTATTGAATAGTTAATACTTATATCGGTAACCGGCGTTTAGGGATTCTTAAAATTCGTTAATTTCTATAGACGTTTTATTAAAAAATTCAAAAGTATAATTAAATTACTTAACGACCTAATTAAGAAAGATACTAAATTTTTATAATTATAAGAGTATAATAAAGCCTTTAATACTTTAAAATAAATAATTTTGGATAATCCGATCCTTATACTCCTAGACCCAAATAAAGAATTCGAGGTAGAAACTAATACCTCCAATTAGGCTATAGGAGGACAATTAGGCCAACGCAACGAATAAGGAAAGCTATACCCCGTCGCATTCTACTCCAAGGTATTCTAAGGATTTAAATTCAATTATCTAATTTATAATAAAGAACTTATATCTATTATCTAGGCTTTCAAAGAATAGAAGCTCTAACTTAGTAGTATAAAGTATAAAGTTAAAATTTATTTAGATTATAAGAATTTAACATACTTTACAACTATAAAGGAATATAATTAATAGTAAACTAAATAGTTAGAGTTCCTATTATAATTCAATTTTAGTATTTACTACCGTAAAGGATCCGAGAACGCGAAGGCTGACGCGTTAAGTAGGAGAGAGGATCTCAAAATAAGGAACAGACCTATTACCTTCCCTACTCTATTCCAAGCCAATACAAACGGATTACTATAATATAAGCCCCTACAGGCGCAAACTATAAACGACGATATTAATGTCTATTATATTACTAGAGTGGAACTAGACGACTAGATCCAACGAATTACCGAAGTATAGTACGAAACCGTTAGTAGAAGCTCGCAATCTCATCCTTAAGGTTAAGGAGATTTTCGGTTAGTTCCTATATATTACTTTCGTAGCTATAGCCTTACCATTTAATTAAGTATTCTATTTTTCTATCGTTGTTAATCTTTAAGTCTAATATAGCTTCCGTAATGAATTCATCGCTATTATTCTATATTTATACATTTTTATCGATTTTAGTATTCTTAAATATTAATTCTAATAGTAAAATATAAAACGTAGGCTATTATTGTATACCCTTCAGTAGTTCTAGTTTATAATTGCTAATACTAACTTTTTTGATTACTTTAAATAAATTTAATTTCTTATAATCGAATTTATTATTTAGTTACTTGGTTTTAATGTTTTAATAAAGAAGATAGACTTTATCTCCCCTCCTAAAAGTCGGCGCTAATAACTTTATACAATTGTAGTATCAGTTTATACAGTTCTTAATAAAAATTAGCTCGTCTTTAAGGGTTTAGTATATTTCGGTTAGCCGTTTAATTCGAACGTGCGCTCGAGTACGATAGCATCCTAATCGTTATCAATCGATTTACAAAGTTCTTATACTTCCTACCATTTAAGGAAGATATTAATATAGAACAATTAGAATATATTTTTATAAAACATATTACTTCTAACTATAAATAACCAAAGGAGGTAATTACTAATAGAAATAAGCTCTTCTCGTCAAAATACTAGTAAGTATTTATAAATAAATTAGGCATTAAATATAAGATATCTACCGTATACTATATAAGAACGGATAATTAGACGGAACGGATAAATTAGGTCCTAGAAGTATACTTTCGGGTATATATAAACTACGAATAAAATAATTAGGCTAAACTACTACTAATAGCGCAAATGTCCTACAACAATTCTAAGACTGAAACTATAAAGGTTATACCCTTCTTCGCTAATTATAATTATAAAATAAATTTTCGATAAGGGTAGGATTCGGATTCAATCGTACTTCGAATATATATTCGAACTAAATAACTAACTGAAATATATTAAACCTTTAAAGACGAACTAATCTTTATTAAGGACCGTATAAACCGATACTACGATTATACAAAATCATTAGCGCCGACCTTTAGAAGGGGAAATAAGGTCTATCTTCTTCGCCGAAATATTAAAACTAAGCAATTAAATAATAAATTTAATTATAAGAAATTAGGTCTATTTAAAGTAATTAAAAAAGTTAGTACCAATAATTATAGACTAGAACTCCCGAAGGGCATACAATAATAGCCCACGTTTCATATTTTACTATTAGAACTAATACTTAAGAATATTAAAATCGATAAAAACGTATAAATATAGAACGATAGCGATAAATTTATTATAGAAACTATGCTAGATTTAAAGATTAATAATAACGGAAAAATAGAATACTTAATTAAATAGTAAGGCTATAGCTACGAAAATAATATATAGGAATCAACTGAAAATCTTTTTAACTTTAAGGATAAAATTACGAACTTCTACCAACGGTTTCCTAATCGGCCGAAGCCGCCAAATATTCTAAAAACCTTAGAATTATTATATTTAATTCCCTTAGTTAATTAGACTCCTTAGTAGGGACGACGGAAGAAGAATCCCCGGCATTCCTAACCATATCTTCTGCCAAATCTACTATCCCCCGATTAAAATACTCCCTCTAATAACGAAGTAAATAGTATTTCTACTCTCGAATATAAAGTAAATAATTCTAAAGGACTACAATTTCTCGTATTAAACGTTCCTCCTCATCCTCCAGCCTCTTTACTTCCTCCATTTCTTTATTTACTAGTACTATATTAATTACTACCCCGCAATTACCAAGGATAAGACTTACAACGCGAATCCGGATCAACCGATACGTCGCACGCTATTTTACAGCGAATACACTCGCTGTACAACGAAAACTTCAAGCGATCTACAATATAAAATCAGTTATATTAATAATAATTGGAGTATAATATCGCAAGAACTCTACCGAACTATTTAATATGGCGAATTAATATATTAGTAAATACCTTCTTCTAAGAAGAGCAATTCGAAATAATATACAATACGGGTATAATAGGCAATAATAATAAAGAGAGGAAGGAAAGATTTATTTACAAATTATGGTAATATAGGTAATAAGAAAAATAAGCTAGAAGAAAAGGGAGACGAAGGGTACAATAAGCATTAAGGTAGCTACTAATACAACTTATTAGTACCTAAACATTAAATTCGAGTAAAAGGTATTATTATAGGGTTATATTATAGCGTTAAGGATAAAGCTATAAAAGAGGAGCATCGTATTACGATCCAACCAACGAACTTAAATAAATTAACCAATCAAAAGAATCCCGGGGTCCCGAAATAACGGGACTACGGGATAGGCCCGAAGTCCCGGGATAATAGGACTACAGGACCGGCTGAAAGCTAGTATATAAGAAGGCCTCTCGGCCTTCGTTATTATAGCTCTTCAGCAAGCAATAGTTTTTATAATCGATCAGTACCTTCTGGCTACTCTTACTGTTGTTTATTCATCCCAGCGATATACTCTTGTACTTATAACGGTTCGTCACAGTTTGCTTCACTTGAACTTACGAAATGATCAGATGGTCGCGCTAGCCCGGCTTTGAAGATCGCGCAGGCGTTCAAACCCGGGGATTAACTGAGAAAGGTGTTGATGGAGCTTGGATTTCGCAAGCCGAAATTGGCATGGAGGGAAAATTCGTGTCACGAGGATCTTCGCACCCGCGTTTCTTGGACAGTTTCGTATCGCGTCTCTAAAATTACAGTAAGATACACCTCCCACATCACTCGAATTACATGGCAGGATAAGAATTGCGAACGAGTGACCTACAAGCATGCCAGCTTGTCAAGACACTGACACCGAAACTCATCGAGGTATCTTCATGCCTCTAGCAACAGACCTCCTTTCCCAAGAGCACATGCAAGATCATAGCATGAAAAGCTACTCCCCAAGCCTTACCTCCTCCACAATCTCTTCAAAGAGGTCCTTCAGCCCACTAACATCGACGCCAAGGGTGAATTGAGACTTGTCCAATATATACAGGTGAAGTTGCCCTGGCTTGTAGCCAGCAGATCTGCCCGCCGGTCCAGTGCGCCCGCTCTCAATTTCCTCAAGGGCTTGATCCACGAGTCTGTGATGTTCCTCCACTGCCCATTCGATATCCTTAAAGACCGTACGGAAGACCTCAATCTTGTCCTCATCGTCATTTTTGTGGTTGTCCTCTTCGTACATGGCCCTGAGAGCCTCCGCCTCACGCTCAGCTGTACTCTTTTCGTTTCTAGACTCCTCGGCAGTTTCTGTAACGGTCTTGTAGTCCATCGGGAGAACAATGACTTGGTAGGTCCTCAAACGTTTCTCAAGGGCGGCAATCTTCTTCTTTGCTTCATGCAGCTGCTCCTCGACCTCCTGAAGTTCATCTATCATCTCGTCGTTCTCGAGCTCAAGTTCGTGTTCATACTCGTCATCAGACATGACGGGAGTAGAGTCGGCGTTGAAGATGGGGAGAGAAGGTGTGGTAGGTAGGTTCCACATGAAGGGAAGAGTACCGGGTCGTGCTGGGCGCCGGTCGTCTTGAGGTTGTTCCATTGCCTTGCGTTTGGCGGGGCCTTGGTCAGCGTGGGTTTGTGAGGCTGGGGCCTGGTTGGGCTGCATCGGCTGCCTGGAGCGCTTGGGGGATTGCGCGGACATTGTGAGATGATTTGTGGCCTCGAGGTTGGGTTTGGTTGCTGACCTTGGGCTGGATGGACTCAATGCTGAGAAAGTTGAAGTGTGCGAGGAATTGTGTTAAAGTTTGGATTTTGGTAGGTGTGCTGGTTTTAGATTTGATGTGTGGAAAAAGAGGGAAGGCACAATTGACCATCCCTCACACTACCCTTGTGCCTTCCGTTCTAGATCAATGATGCCCCTGCCCACTTAGAATCAGGAGCAATGGCCACCTACCCTGTCTTCTTTCCTCGCCATAGGTATCTCTCTGTCTTCATCCAATCAAAAGACATTGACCACCACTTTCGTGGTCTCTCGTGATTACCTTCTTCGGATGGTTTAGCATTCTTGGCCTCAAGCAATTGTTTCTTGACATCGTCAAGCTCCTTGACCCTGGATTTGTCCCTTTCGAGTAACAGCTGAAGTGACCCTTCCAAGTCATAAACACCGTTGATGGATATGAGTGATGTGCCGGTATTCTGGAATGACTCCTTGAATACCTTCTCGATACGGGCCATCTTGTTCTCTGCGCCGCATAGCTTTTCGATTTCGCGTCCGTGCGCCGCCAAAGCCCACCTGAGATCGTTGTTAGCTTGCAGTAGTTCACTCATGCAGAAAACGTCCTCTTCTAGTGCTTCCAGACGCTGTTGAAGATCGATGTTGTTGCTCACAGCCTGATCGCGGTGCTGTTCAGTCAAATCTAGGGACGTTCGCAACCCCGCAACCTCCAATCTGAGAGCAGTCATGACTGAGTTGGCGTGCTCGTTCCCGTCATTTTCCGCCACTGCTGTTGTATATTCCTCTCTCAGCTTCCGGATGGTTTCTTTGTGTTGCTGTAGCGCCTCATCTTGGCCAGTTGCTATCCTCTTTTTCTCCTCCTCAAGGGTAGCTCTAAGCTTTTGAATCACAGCCTCTTGGGTTTGACCAACGGCCTTGCGTTTCATAATTTCCATTCTTGCAGATGCAAGCTCCAAGCTCATTTTCTGGAGCTTTTGTGCGTCCTCCGTTGCCTCAATAAGCATGGGCGCGTAGGATGTGGTCTCGGAGTTACTGGTGGGACTGGCGCGATGTTGGTCAAAGTCGACCGTCGACGTGTCAGAGAGATAGGAGTCCGAGTCCGAGCCCGAGTCGTCCATTGTGGCTGTGGATGTTGGGCGGTGTAGAAGTAGATATTGAACAGATGGTACCAATACTGTCCCTGTAGTAGACAAGTCGTGAATGGTAACGGAAGGTAAGTGTTGTGCGGTAGACGTGTGCGTATGATTCTAGTTTTGCCTCGAAGGATGACTGGCTGTGTCTCGTCGATACTCAAAAGCGATGGAGAATGGGATGGAAATGAAAGTGTTGGAGACATGGTGTAAAGGCCACTGATTAAATACCATTTTGAAATATTTTCATCTGCTGTACTTGTTCATCATGCATGTGAAGAATTAAACGGATATCCGGCCGGGACCAGACTTGGGATTAGTACTACTAAAGTATTTTTAGTATTTTCAAAAAATAGTTTTAGTATAGAAAATATACTAGAAAACGAGCTCTTTTTAATACTATCAACGGTTTTTCAAAATAGTAAAAAACTAAAAAGTTATTAAGAAAAATAAAATACTAATTAGGACTAATTAGTACTACTCTAGTATTATTAGTAGTACTAGAAATACTAGTCCAATACTAAAAATACTAGAATTAGTACTAGAAATACTAGACTAGTACTAGAAATACTAGAATTAGTACTAGATATACTAGACTAGTACTAGAAATACTAGTCTAGTACTAGAAATACTAGTCTAGTACTAGAAATACTAGTCTAGTACTAAGAATATTAATCTAATATTGGGAATACTAATTTAGTATCTTGGATATTTATATATATATATATAGTTTATTAGATAATATATATACTTACTAAATATAATATAGAAATAAAAATATTTAACTATCAATCTTTAAGGAATATGAGAATAAGTTCAAAATAAAAAGAATATAATTAGAAAGTAGAAGAAAAAGTAAAAAAAATTAAAAAAGTAAGAAGTATACTAGAGTTAAAAAAGAAAAGAGTATTAGAAAAGGAAAAAGAAAGAATAAAATAAAATAAAAAGGTAAACGATTTAAAGTAATTAAAGTGGAAAAAGTTTAGTAAATACTTTTTTAAATAAATGTTTTAAAAAGTCATTTACTATGATTAAAGGTAGAATTAAAGTAAAGAAGTAAATTAAGAAGGTAGAATAATTGAGAATGTTAATAATTAATTTAATAAAAAAAGAAATTTAAAAGTTTAGAAATTGAATGATAATTTATATATATATATATATATATATGTGTTTAAAATTCAGTGACAAATTATTTGTATATTCGATTATTACATTATTTTATAAGAATAGTATATATTATTATTTTTATATTAGTTACTATATTTGATAATGATAAATTATAAAATAAATTAATAAAGTAAAGTAAAATTAATAAATAAAACAAAGATAAAATTACTTTATATGGTTAATTAGAGGAATAAGTTTTTAGAAATGTATAATTCTATAAAACTTTTAAATATTCGAGATTAAGAGACTTTTAGTAAGGGTTAGGATACTAATTTTAAAATTTTAAAAGTTTTAAATTTTATAATGAAGAATAAAAGTTTAAAAAAGTTTAAAATCTTTGGAATAATTTCATATTACACTATTGATACTATTTCTACTACTAATACTACTACTGCTATTACTAAAATAACTAATTTATAGTATTATAAATTTAATTGATATTATTAAAATACTAATTAGTACTACTAAAATACTGATTAGTAGTACTAGAGTAGTACTAGAGTAGTACTAAAGTAATACTAATTAGTATTTTAGTAGTACTAAAGTAATACTAATCAGTATTTTAGTAGTACTAATTAGTATTTTAGTAATATTTAAATTGGAAGATCTGATATATATTCTAATTATAGTATATAATAGTGAAATTTATAAATTGTATATTTATTATTAGAAAGTTATTTCTATTTTTCTTTAATTAATTAATTTATCTTTTTTAATAATCTAAAATTAAAATTCTATAACAAAATGAAGAAAAATCTTTACTAAGTAAAGATACCATATTCTTTCTTGTTTATTTTTATATAATACACACACAGTTCGAACAGTTCCAAAATATCAATTTTCAGAAATTAGTATTTTTAGTATACTAGAGTCTAGTACTAGTACTAGTCTAGTCTAGTACTGAGGTAGTACTAGTACTAGTACCAAAGTCTAGTACTCTAGTACTACTAATTAGTACTGTACTAATTCCCAACTCTGGCCGGGACAGGTACGGGCATAGGTTTTGCAGGCTCGTCGTCCCAAGGTGGCCTGCATTGCAGGATCCAAGGTTGCATATTTCGACATGTCCGGTCGATGACTCCATTCACTGGGCTTGATCCCGCATGTACTGTCTCTCCCACTACTTTCTAGCCGACCAACGCCAACCTGCGCAACTGCATCTGAACCACCATTCTACCTCTGCTCGCGACTTAAGGCCTGGCAACAACCATACAGGGTTGATAACGCAACGCAATTAATCATCGATTCAATCTCGCCTACGAATTCCAATGTCCGCCGCCATCAATGCGGCTGAAGCCGCCCGAGAGCCCCTCACCTCCACCAGCTTCCTTACCGACGGCTGCGTTAACTACATCGGCATTAACATTACCGTGACCCACGAGATCAAGTCCAGCATGGCCGCTCGCCTGCTCCGCTGCGAAGCTCCCTCACCGCACGCCACAAACCCCCTCCCAACTATCCCACAGGGCCGCTCCCGCTACATCATCCCGCCTCCCTCGCGCCGTCGATCGAGTCGCTTCCTCCTTAAAGACAACGAATTCTCTTCCTCATCCGTTCCTGCTGCCACTGGAACCGCCGCCGACGAGCCCGTGGTCTGGCTCCCAGCGCAACAAGTTTGGGTCAAGAACCACCAAGGCAACGTCGTGCCTCCGTCGAACAAGCTGCGCATTGGCCCCCAGAGCTTTGTCAGTCTTCTGGGTCGCGATGGAACGTATGCGGCTGTTTGCCATGTTTCGCAGGTTGAGAGGGTGATTGCGTACATTGCTGATGTTAACTCGGCCAAGTCGGAGCGGTTGTGCGTTGCTACTGGAGGCGTGGACTTTCCCGAGGACGAGAGACGGTGGATGTATGTGGTTTCTTGTGTAGGTGCGGCTACGGAGGGATGGGAGGGCTTCGATAGTGCCGGCTTGGAGCCAGGTGGTTAGGGAGATGAGATGGTGGAGGACAAGGACGGCCGTTGCATGGAGGATCGCGCCTGAGAATCCGGGTATTCTTTCTCTGCTACTCTTGCCTTTGTATCTCAAGCTAACAAACTGGTGTCTAGGATGGCACGATCTGCAGATCCTACAAGCTACTATATGATATGGCGATGACATTCTCCGCAACCCTCCCCATTATCTCGACGAAGCGACACGCCAGGACGTTAGAATCCAAAGCTCGGTGTTAATCCTTCCAACCAATAGCAGAACCATCCGACGATCCCGGTAGCTGATGAGCACTGCCGTGCGTACACCTGGCCTTTTGTTACATTCTATAGGCACACGACTGTAGCAGTCTTGCAGTCATCGTCAACAGCTCGAGCCTACGGGTACCAAGTCTCCAGATCATGGCTTGTGAAGCCTGCGGTACATGACAGTGGGAGACTTGATGTGCCAGCCAATACACACATGCACCTATCTTGCCACCCTATCATCTACGTTATGCCAGTTTTCCACTGTGGCTGTCCACAATCTCCTTCTTCTGTGCTCTTCAAATTAGTGTCTCTTCTTCCAACAGCTTGAAGAGTATCTCTTGCGTTCAATTGTGAAAATGGACTACATTTAGACGACAAATCATGTATTCCATCACCCGCGACAGATCCGATACATTCCACTTTTGCCTGTACATGTTTCGCTACAGCCATGTAGTCCTTTACCGTTCTGCTTGACACATGCTACAAATGTTCGGTTAATTTTCAGGGCAGACGCATGTTTACAAGGATGGCTGCTTAGAGGCACTGTACCATGCAAGGCTGTTAGCGCACAATTACTAAAGACACCAAATCTAGGGGGCAGCACTATCGCTTACACATCCTGGTCCTCCCGGGTGTGGATCCTATGCCACTCCGTTAGTGCTAGCCCACTGAAGCCCCCCCAATGCAGGGCGCTGCACTACCACATAATTGTGCACAGGCTCGAGGTTTCGACTTCCTCACTTTTCTTCACCTATTTACTTTGTCCTGTTCTCAAGTTTGAAGATGACCTGAGAAACTCGGGAGTGCGCTGATGTGTCAGTGGTCAATGCGGCCTGTTTCTGAAACGAGACAACGTCACCAAGCAAAAGGTATACTTGAGGGTGGGATTTGCGCCGGCCATTCTTTGTTGTTTGTTCGAAAAGGGCGTGCCTTCCGTCTTTCAGGTGGATTTCAAATTTAAAAATGGCGCTGTGTTTGTGATGTTATTGGCGCTCGGGTTGCCTGGAATCAGTGGAATGTCATATGATCCCCCAACACTACCCAATCAAAGCCCAAGGCCATTCAGCAAAAGATTGGAGGAGAAGAACAGATTCGCGGAAGTTAACACATTAGTTGGGGATACTATAATCCTTTCTTGTACTGCAATAACATACTTCGGCAAAGACCAGGTGAGGATATCGAAGGTCTGGAGCGTGACATGTGGTACCCCGGCTTCAACAAGCAACTGCCCGTGATACGGCAGCAATGGAAAAAAAAAAAGGGGGTTATTTACGTACAATCGTTGCGTCAAGACAATTTGCCTTCATAAGGAACTGTTTGAAAGCCCTTCCACTAA